TGAGTTTATTGATATGGGGTTTCCAGCTTAAAGAACTATCAATGTAAACACCAAGATATTTAACATCCTCCGACCTAGTTATTTGTGAACAGTCGCATTGTGAGAAGGATAGATCGAGAGGGCAATCATGGGCTTTAAGCGTCATAGCATCAGCGGGAGCAAGATTATTTGAGTGCAACGAGAAAGGTAAGTAGACAGTTTTATCAATATTTAAGGTTAGAACATTATCTGATAGCCATTTCATCACCAATCTGAGAGCATGCTCTGCGTGTTTCATAGTTTCGGGCCAGTTTCTACCGTGAAGAACCAGTGCTGTATCATCAGCATAAGTAAATATTGAGCAATGAGGTATGGATATATTACATAGATTATTAATATATATTAGGAAAAGCGTTGGGCCTAAGATTGAACCTTGAGGAACGCCATAATTTAATGTTACAGTGTCACTGATAATGCCATTAATATTTACGCACTGTGTTCTGTCACGTAGAAAGTCTTGGAAGATTTTCAAAGTATCTCCACGGATGCCAGTGGCTTCCAACTTGCCCAAGAGGAGTGGAATAGACACAGTGTCAAATGCCTTAGAAAGGTCTAAGAAGACTGCAAGACATTTTAGTTTGCTATCTAATTTTGCCACAACATCATTTACTAGAGCGGCAACTGCATCCTCAGTCGATCTGCCACCTCTAAAACCATACTGATTGTTACTTAGGATTTTATAACGTTCAAGAAATTTAATTAATCTATTGTTAAGAATTTTTTCCAGTACCTTCGACATAGCAGGCAGAACTGAGATAGGCCTATAGCTGTTGACCCTTGAATATAGGAAAGACAATTGCCTTCTTAAAGGCTTTAGGGAAACATCCCGTTGAAAGTGAGCAATTGCAAATATGAACAATTACCGGCACAAGGGCAGATAGACAAGACTTTAACAGCCTCGGTGATATACCATCCCAGCCCACGGCAGCATCCACTTTCAATCCAAGGATCAGATTAGTGACTTCAACTTCATCAGTAGGAAGGAGAACTAGGGAGTTACATGTAGAAGCTTCACAGCAATTTTTTAAGTTACTCGTGCTATTTGGGAATTTTTCAGACAAAGTTTTGCCTACACTCACAAAAAACTCGTTGATAATATTAACCGAAGACCTCTCATCATATGACGACTTCAATAATTCGTTAGGAGAGGTAGTATTGACACCAGTCCCAGTAACGCTCCTAAAGATCTTCCATGTAGCTTTAGGGTTATTTTTAGCCTTTTGGAATTGTTCTTTTTCGTAAGCTGTTTTAATATTTTTGAGAAGTTTATTACAAAAGTTTCGATATCTCATATACGTGACTCTAATGGTATAGTTGTCAGGGTCCTTCTTTAGAGTACGTGCCATATTATCCCTATTTCGGATACATTTCAGCAATCCATTAGTGATCCAAGGCTTAAGAATTCTTCGTTTAAAAGATGTGTGTACTGATTTAGTGTGCTTGAGTGTAATGGAACTAACAGTAGAGACTAAAAACTCTGTGGCAATGTTAGCGTCCTGAGTACCCATTATACCACTAAAATCAAATGATAATATGTCGGCTACTACAGCCGAGTAATCAACAATTTTTCGTGTACGCTTAGATACAGGCAAAGTCTTAACGTGTTGGATGTTAATAAACGTAGGCCTGTGGTCGGTGATATAAGTGTCGACGATCAGAGTCGTAATTTTAAGATCAGACCTAATCATTACATGGTCAATGCAAGAATTACCACGAGTTGGCAGAAGGTGAGCAGGAAGAAGGCCATGTGCAGCAGTAAGGTTTAAGTACTGATTGGCAGATTGGCATATGGCATTTGGGGTTATATCGATATTAATGTCCCCCACCACAACAATATTTTTTAGGCTTGACATCCGAGTAAGAATGCAGTCCAATCCATCAATAAAATTATCAACATTTCGAATAGAGGGGGATCTGTATAACGCTATAAGTGAAGTATTGTGAAACTTTAAATTACACAACAAACAGCTGGCATCAGACATCGCAGGTTCCGTAACACAATGAGGCAAATTCAATTTTATGTACATGATGATTCCATCGTTTTGGTTTTTAATATTAGTCGTATGATAAGACACGTATCCATCCAATAACGGAACTGCTGAAACACTCAACCAACACTCCGATAAAATTAAAACATCAAAAGAAATATTAATACTAACGAGAAATGCTTGAAAGAAGTCAAAATTACGGTTTACACTACGTATATTTAAATGTATTATGTTTAGTGACTTTAAGTTGTTTGCAATGAAATTCTGGCATGCATCCGGTTCACAAATATATGAGTCTCTTTTACCAATGGAGTCAAATTCCTCTAAACTATCGATGTCGAACATTAAGTAACGATAGTAAGTGCACATTGTTTGCTACCATGATGCAAAAACCGCAAAACTGAGCCCCAATTACGACACATAACCCGTCACTACAACTGTATAACATTAAATGTAATGTAAGGTACGAAACATAAATGTAAATGTTTGTATTTGTAAGTGTACAGTGTAATAGTCCAGTCATTATAGTAAGTTCACCTCGGAATTCGAGATACCCAGCTGTAAGTCTGTAAATACTTGTATATTGACACCCTAAAAGTTGTCTCAAAACCTACATATGGTAGGGTGTAAGCAACTATTAAATTTCAAGGTCAAAAGTCACAAAAATCGGTTTATTGCGCTTTTTTTGGAAATATCTCATTTCCTATGGGTTTCTGATATTTGTATTCATTTTCAATATTGTAGAATACAAAATTCTCTAAAAATTTTGTTTAAAAAATTTTTTTATACGGTAAACCGTTTTCGAGATAGAGGGCGGAGAGCGCGCGGTCACAGCATCACTTCAGGTCAACCGGTGCCTCCGGTCGAAAACGCGCCATGTATAGTTGATGAACTATCGATAAATCAATGATTATAAATAAAAATTAGATTTAAAATAAAAAGAGATTATTAGAGAGTGGAACTCAAACCTTATTGGCAGTCTATAATGCTCCGAAATCTGTGAAAAGTCTCGATCATCTTCGTTATATGCATTACGTCAAGTCTACAAAACTTAATAAACCTGTGCAGCTTTCAAATATTCCACCAACAAGTGCAGCTGCTCATCAACATTTCAACCGTGTATATTATCAAGTTCAAACTTGGTTAGGACATGATTTGGAACCCCAGGTATGGGATTGGACAATGCGAAATGATTTTCTGGAGCCTATCATGACAATTTTACCACCTGCTCCAGAAGATTTGCTAAATACAATTTTCTGCAACTGCAAGAGTGGTTGTGGTTCGCGATGCGGATGCAGGAAAGCAAGCTTGCAATACTCTTTAGCTTGTGGCCAATGTAATGAGCAAGCTTGTCTCAATGCTCTACCATATCAGAGCGACATTAACGAAGATGGAACCTTTGACCCCGAAATCATGGAAGAACTTGAGACAGATGTCGTTGAAGACGATAATGAAGACCAGTTTGAAATTTACCAGCAGCCAGAAGACGACGAAGAAGATGATTAAAATTATAAATTGTAGTTTTTGTAACCTTTATTCCATTTTTTTACTTTCAATAAAAATAAATGTATTCAATGATATTTTTTAATAAAAAGATTAATTCATAATTTATTTGTTTTTTTTTCATCATGTAAGAAGTTATTAATATTAATTAGGTTAAAATTCAAATATAATTCCTATATTTTCATTAACAATTCTGCAATTACATGGGCAGGTAAGTGTTGTTAAATAAATTAATACTGAATAAAAAGTGGATAAGTTAGGAAAAAAATTATAAAATATAATATAATAGTTAATAAAAATTGACAAATATTTATAATCATTGATTTATCGATAGTTCATCAACTATATATGGCGCGTTTTCGACCGGAGGCACCGGTTGACCTGAAGTGATGCTGTGACCGCGCGCTCTCCGCCCTCTATCTTGAAAACGGTTCACCGTATGAAAATTTTTTTAAACAAAATTTGTAGAGAATTTTGTATTCTACAATATTGAAAATGAATACAAATAGCAGAAACCCATAGGAAATGAGATATTTCCAAAAAAAGCGCAATAAACCGATTTTTGTGACTTTTGACCTTGAAATTTAATAGTTGCTTACACCCTACCATATGTAGGTTTTGAGACAACTTTTAGGGTGTCAATATACAAGTATTTACAGACTTACAGCTGGGTATCTCGAATTCCGAGATTCTTACCTAATTTAAGCTTAAATGACTGGACTATAAAACAAGAGTGGACTTAATGGTTTTAAGTAAGAAAGACATTCCAATGTGATTGGATAAAACAGAGATCAAGAACTGAGGATTATCAGTAGTATGGTTTTCACTTGTTGAGAATTTTATGTTCTTGGGAGAATGTTTGTGTATGGTGTAGAGGTTTATACATATAAATTTATTTTCACAAAGTGGTATTAATAAAGTGATTAACAAATCGAAAGAAATACTTAGGCAATAGATGATATGAAAAGCAAATATGTTGGAAACCAAAAAATTATGAAATTTTTGTGAATGTAACTGTGAAGTTTTTAGTTCACATACCAAACAGAAATGAATAGACTTACACTTGTTGTTTGGACACAAGTAGTTTATTGAGACAGGAAGTTGACTTGATGATGACAGAGTCCATGCCCTCTCGTTCTCGAAGAAAAAATTTACCATTTTGAGCCCAACAAAAATTATACTTGTTTTTCTTAGCAAAAGCTCGAGCTTCAAAAAACAGTTGTCGTAAGGAGCGTGGCATGTGTTCAGCAACATATATCGGCTTCACTTCCCCCGGAACGCCAATGTGTCCTGTATTTAATTTTTCAGAGGTGGGTAAACCCTTGTTAAAAGTTCGGCATGCGCTCAGAACTTGATTTTTTGAAGTGACATTCATGAACTCAGCAATTATAGGTCTTTTGGAGCCTTTCTGGCCTGGCAGACGGTACACATCACGTAGCAGAGGGGGCGAGCTCGACGGTCGAATAATACCACATGTTTTGTGGACAATAGATGTCAGGTCACTACTGGTTTCCATGTCATTTGATGGAACATTCCTAATTTCTATGCAGGACGAACGCGAGCCGAGCTGTAGATCAACCACTTTCTTTTCCAGGTCCACTATGTAATAGTCAGCGCTTAAGAATTCAGTTGATTTCAACACATCAGCATTCATTTTTTTTATCTCTGCATTTTGAAGCTTAATGGCCGATATTTCCGATGACAATTTCTCAAGCAGAACATCCTGTTCGCCTTTCCACAAGGTAAGCATCTGCATTACCTTTTCCTCGAAGGATTTCAGTTCACATTCCGGGGAGAAATCAGGCCGTAAGCGCTTTGTTCGTGAAGTAGTATTTGAATTTTCACGTTCGTTCATGTTTTGGTACACTTCCGGAGTTGAAAAAACGGGTTGGACATTCATCTCATGTGTGGGAGTAGGTGGTGGTGAGCGCTCAACCCTTGGCATACTTAATGTAAGTATTTGTTGCTACCGCTCAACTTCCAATAAACACTTAAAGCAAAGCGCGAAGGCAGCACTGATTAAAACACCCGTGTCTTATCTTTCTTACCTGCTCCATCATGAGACCCAGAAACGGTCTTATCTCATATACTATATAACTAATGGATCATCACTTACCCTCTAACCTATTCATTCAGACCTGTAGATGTAAACCCAAATATCCTAAAGAACTAAGCAACTATCAGCTGATGCTGACTGATGGCTCACAATCCTTCACTGAATTACAAAGAGATGTTAATCTTCAATCGGATGAGAAGGGGCCCCGAGGATTGCGTTGCCTAAGGGCACGGACATAGTTAATCCGGCCCTGCTTATAGAATAGTATGGTGTGGATTAGGATGAAAACAACCATCTGCATCAATACGTATATGTATTTACGTACGTTATTGGTATTCAGAGTAGGTGAGTGATAAAAAAAATGTTTTTGTTGTCACTGGTTTTAAGACAGATTTAATAAGGTATGTTGTCTCCTAGCGACCAACAGTTATTTAAATAAGCTAAACTGATACGTCGATCAATAATAACTGTTACATTGAACATTTCGTATTTTTGCTGATCAGTAGGTCTTCAGATCATCAGAAATGTTTACTCACTAAATATGTACTTAAGCAAGGGGCACTTAAAACGTTCAAATAAACGAAAAAAAGGTCTTATATAAACATGAAACGCGTTCTTAATAGAAAGGTTCCAAACATGTACACAAGAGGCAATTAACTTGGTTATATCTATTTTTTCTTTAGTTATTTCTTCTATTCAAGAGTCAGAAGTGCGTTTCCGCCCTTTAAGTCTTACAAGAATGAGAGAGAGGTGAGGGGGGAAGGGTTGAGCCGAAATAATTGCTTAACACCGTTTATCTGCGAGGCCGTGGTATCACTCCGGTATAGCCTGACCCATATATCCCGAAGCATGGCTTGGTAATTCTCTATCTCCATCTTATTTGACTGCCTCCGTGGCGCACTAGTAGTTTATGCGAGTGCTGTGCTGAGGTCGCGGGTTCGATTACCGGGTCGGACCAATTGTTTGTATTGTCTGCAAACATTTGAGTTTGGGGGTTTTCTATGTATAAATTAATTTATTTTAAGTATAAATTTACACAAAAAAATATATAAGTATTCTATCAGTCAATCTAGCTTTCATACTGCTTCGGTGGTGCAGTGGTAGCGCATGCGACTGCTGTTTTGAGGTCTCGAGTTCGATGCCCGGGTCGGACCAAAAGTTTGTATTATATGCAAATATTTGATTCGGAGCTTGGGTGTTTTCTATGTATTATATGATTTTCAATTTTTTGTAGGGTAGATGTGATTTTTTATTTTTTTTGAACTGATCACTATGTACCCTCATCACGCTGTTTTAAAGCGACTAAGTAAAAGTTCCTTGAACTGTCGAAATCGATTGTGTTTTGTGTGGTGCAATAATTTAATTGTGCAGTAAATTATATTAGCTATTATCAGCGTTCCCGTTTTGATATCGGAGTGAGTACCTAAGATCACTTTAATATTGCCTATTTCATTCATGTTAATGTTGTTAATTATTCATCGTCATCGGGAATTGTCGAGTCAGGTACTCGTTTTAATTAAAGCATTTTTTTTTAACATTTAACCTTAATTAATCATCGACAGTAAAACTTAAAAGTCAAAGAAAGAAAATGTTAGTGAATCATATTGATAACATTACGTGACATTAACATTGAAACTCGCCATTTGAAGGCGATATTATGTCTGTTTGATGATTTAGTGCTTGGATTTTACAATAGTACAAAAGAACAACTTATTTATTTAGACATTCTGACATACGGTTTGGCTGACCCTAATTTTAAAGAATACAGAAAAAAAATGAATGTTTTTTAGTTGACTGCGTTACCAAAATCACATAATTAAATCTAAATCTTAAGCATTTATGTAAAGGGTATGTATGAAGTGATCAGTCCAGAAAAATAAAAAATCGTATGAACCTGAGTGTGCTTGAGGCAAAAACACAATTGATGATTGATTGATGATTTTTATTTATTTACTCATCATGCACATTTGGTGCATTTGGACTTAGGGGAACGCATGGTGATTGAACGGAACCCATGAACATTCGCGCGATCGTAAGCACTTGGCTGCTTCCGTCAACTATCCACAAACTACGCCTGAGGCGCTCGAACTGCTAGTGTCATTCGTTTGGTCACGTGGGACGATTGCGTGTTTTTTGCTCCACGCTTACAAAAAATTGACAATTGCCAGGATCAAAGTAAGCATGAAATTGTATTCTTATTTTTTTATTGTATTTATGCTTATTATATAACTAGATTAATTTACTAACAAGTCCAGTTAGTTGTATTGTGATTGAAAGTAGAATTACATATTTATGGTGTTACTTTTGAAAATTGTGGTTAGCGGCTAATGGTAGCCTAGCTTGGCTCTCATTACGTTTAAGAGACATAAAATACCTTATTTTTTGTTTTAGATTTCACGTAAAAGGAATCGAACAACCACAAAAAACATACCAAGAAAGAAACCAAAGAGATTAAAAGTAATTACTTATATAATTAAAAGTTTGTGTGCAATTTGTTTAGACACTGGAAAAAGTGGAGATGTGGTACAGATGCAGAAGTTGCGGAAACTGGGCCCATAAAGGGTGCTCTGGAAGTGATAGTCCAGATTCCTATATTTGTTTGAATCTCTAAAGTCTGGATATTTTGTTTTTCATTAATAATTACATATTTACTTCTCCGTTTTGTTGGAAAAAATATTTTTAAATTGGTGTTACAAATACTTTTATTGTATTGATTATTATAATAACTAAGATCTCATTTAAAGTACGTTTTGATAATTTTTTGGTATAAGAGTAATTATAATGGCTCCCATTTCCCGTGTGAGCTTTAAATGGGCTCTCATTAGCCGCATTTGTCGGGTAATAGGAGCCCCTGACTTTTTTTGTAAAACTATGATTGTACCTTAATACATGTCTGTAGTTGATTATAACTGTTATTAAAGTATTCTTTAATAATAAAGGTAAGAGTTGATAATTAAAAATTACAAGAATTTTGACAAACGTGGTTTTTATCAAAACTTTCCCTTAGTAGGCTCCCATTGCCCTGTTCTCCCCTAATGCCTAAGGCATTCTCTACCAGTCAACCATTGGGTGATGCAGAGAAAACAGGAAGTATTCTTATTATATTTATTTATCAAACACAACATTTTATTAATCCATATATACCTTCATCTGCACCAATATCCGTGTTAAGGTTGTCGGCAAGAGATCGCTGTGAGCGATACGTCCGCGTATTGTAATACTAAATGTAGATAGATGTCCATCCGTCTTTAAAATGTATACTGTAGGGGTGCACAATAAAGATGTATAATTAATAATAAAATAAAATAAAATAAAATACTATATATATCTACAATACATATATACTACAAGTTTCTTCTAATTTACGTTTAAAGAACTTTATTAATACTCAATAACGTTACAGTCCACTTACTGAGCATAATATAAAATAAACAAAGTAATGACAAGGAACAGCGATAGTAGGTTTCTAAATCAATTACTCAAAAAAGTTAAGAAAACAGACTATCATTTATCAGACTTTATAAGATTTTGTAAGCTTGAGATAAAATCCGCTGATTAGAATAATAACACGTTATTTTTCTAAGATAATAAATATATATACCCTACAAAACTTTCTCCTGCAAAAAAATTTACTATTAACGTTAGAAGAACGGACGAAATGTTACATTTTAATTAAAAAATAGTAAAAAACTTATTCTAATTTGTGTTAATCTATGAGGTAGAGCTGTGTAAATAAAGTCGAAAACATAGGCGGTTTAGGCGATTTAGTAAATTGGATTTTTATTACTTTTTAACAGCTAACTTTTGTGTCATTATTTCTATTTAACTAATTTACAGATGTATTAAAGTAAAATAGATAAAGTTGTAATCATGTCTTCCTTGATTGATGGACCTAGATATACCGCGCCATAAATCTGTTATATCATACTCTACATTTTTGGGAATTTCTTAAAATATTTAAGAAAAACTTAACAAAATCCTTAAATAAAAGTAATCGACCCAGAGATAGTACTTTCTGAGATTTAGGGTATGCCATTTTATGCACGCGTCTGGATTAAGGCCCCGAGTTATTTAATCCCAACAGTTTTAATTCTCGCTTAAGAAATTCATGGCCCTTTGCTCTAAATTTTTACTAATTTCCCTATAAATCTTATTTCGTTAAGCAAAGATTTAAAACATGTGCCATGAATGGAGGTGGTGCCATTCTGTATTTTAAATCCGTCACCACACGGATAATTCAATTCAATCAACGGATATTTTATCTAATACCATGTGCTCAGTTAACGACGATAGGCTTGGGCAAGATGGGCTAAAATTAAACATTCGCATCTGTAATATTAGTTCGACATTCAACTTTTGGGCGAACCCAACATTAAAATTAAAAATATATATTAAATATAGCATAAAGAAACAAGCTATTTATTAAAAAAAAACGACTGCGTGAAAACGTATTAGTGACCGACTAAAGGTTGGTTTCGGCCAAAACCTTTAGTTTCGGTTTCGGCCTTAACTTACGGTCGCACCGGAACTCAGTGTTCGTGAAGTGTCGTGCGTCATTCGGTTAACTTCTAACTCAGTTCGCCGCCGTATAGTGCGATCTTGGACAGGTGAATTTCTAGTACTTATCTATATGAATAATGTTTTTATTTTTTAGCCACCTACCTAAATAGGTTTTCTCTAATTTAGAATTAATGTCGTTTGTCTACCTTATTACAGTGGTTTAAGGCGGTATGTAGATATAAGCAGATAAAAGGCTGAAAAATTCACTAGGAAATATTAAAATGATAGTTTGAGTTTCGGTTTCGGCCGAAACTTAAACAAAGGCATAAAGTTCGGTTTCGGCTGAAAAACCTATCGGGGGTCGGACACTAAAACGTATAGATATTTAAATTTACAAAGCGGCGATTTCAATTTTTATAATTTTCACATACCCAGTGACACTCACATATATAAGGAATCTAAAACTCATCAAGCCCTTTATGCTACAGATCATGCCAAAGAAATACACACACATTCTCACAAAACTCATAGCCCTCCTTCACGCGCAGTCGGGTAAAAAGGTTTAAATAAAAAGAAAAAAAGAAAAGTTCAAATTTATAGTCTCTTAATACAACTATATTGTCAATATTTAATCTTATAGATATAGTCTACTGTTCGTCAGTCTTCGGCCGAAGTCCCCGTATGCTGAGGTCGTACACAACTTCTTCTATCTTCTTCACGTCATACTTGAGGACATCGAAGCGCTTGCGCAGGTGGTCGTTCTTCAAATTTAGTAATCTATTGACAAAGATATTTATAATAAGTAGTTGTCATTGTCGTTGTTCTCTTGACAATTGATGACCGTTTTTGTTTATTTTTATAATTTCACACATCTCACACACGGCCGTCTGCTAGGCAGTGCCTGTACTATGGTACAATACATATTATCGGTAAATTACACCGAAACACAGAACAAATGATCGTGCTCATCACACCATTATTTGTCCTGGGTGAGAATCGAACCCACGACCTCCAGTTTAGCAGTCAGGGTCACTAACCACTAGACTAACAGGGCCCGTAAGAAGATTGAAACTTTTATAATTGACAAATTATAAATGTTCAATTACAATATATCAAATGTAAGCCATAGACTAAAACCTATAATTAGTTGATTAGCCTTTCTTTTGTTGAATTTTATTATATTACTAGCGACCTACCCCGGCTTCACAAGGGTAGTAGGGGCATATAATAACACAAAACCTTACCAATTATACACCTTTCTTAGGAATCACTCTGTCTATTGGTGAAAACCGCAACAGACAGACAGAAAACAAATTTGTTTTATAATATTGGTATTAATTCTGTTGTTCAAAAACTCACTAAACTAAAAATCACAAAAAATTGGCTTAGTCCTGTCAAGTACTACGTTTTCAATATAAGAAACGTTGTTTGACATATCTAAACTACTTTTTGTGATTGTTAGTTTATAGAGTTTTGAACAACAGAATCAGCACCATTATAATTTAAATTTTAATTACATTATCACAAAGATTTAACCAATGTTTATTTACCTGAAACCAGCATTCAATTCCATGACGAATTTAGAAATTTGCAGGGGCTTGTCATAGTCACCCCGTGTGACAGAGTTGACAGCCAGCCGCGCCTGAAAAATATATAACACTTATAATATGACAGTAGTTCTCAGTGTCGATGAGTTCCAAAATTAAAACTGCCTTAGGTTTTTTGATCCATTCGATATTTATTTAACTCTGAATGTGATATTCTTGTAATTAAAACGGCAGTAATAGGCCAATAATAATAACTAAATAATAAACTGTATAAGTACTAAAAAATTAACTGATTATTACTTTAAACAACTTGAGACCTTACATACTGCTATCTGAAGGCCAATTCTCGTAATAAAAGTTCAGTATCAATTCAGTTCCGATAGTTTACCGATTTTCGTAGTAAAGTATTAAATATCCAATGTTGACTGTAATGTGATTATATCGTATTGTAACCGAAAATTTAATCGGTAATCTACTAGTCTACTAGTAATTAGTGGTAAAATAGTTACCTACTGATAAACACGTATGTTTATTTCTAAACACATACATAAATATTATAGATAAACTACACCCAGACACACATGATCATTCTCATCAGACAATATTTGTGTTGGGTGGGAATTGAACCCACAACCAAGCTAGCAAGTAGTCAAGACTGTTAACCATTAGACCAATAGGCCCAGTTACGAATCCAGGATCCAGTTAACTGCTGTTTTATATTTATGATTTGTGACTATTAACAGCAGAGCAGTGGCAAACATAGGTAAATCTGCAGGAAAACCTAGTTAGTATTAAAAGCCTTACCAGTTCTGAACACATCTGCAGCAGTCCACACAAATAATCCTCTATGTCCAAGTGGAAACCAGTCTTCTCTTCCTCGGCGCTTACTGGAATTAAAACATTCCAAAAATATTATTATTTAACTTTAATCAAGGGCTGGACCGATTTTGATAATATTGTACGAGGTAGCTGTCTATATAAGAAGTAACATAGGCTATTTCTTCTTTCAGAAAAGCCCTATAAAATTTTGCCAGGTCCGGGAATCCAACCTGAGTCCTCATTGACTGCAGTCCTCTACACACTAAGGCAGGGCTTTTTATATTCCACCCGAAGGAAGTTGCAGGTACCCAATAGTTAATAATAATATTCACAGTCTTTAGGTGACATAGCAAAATTTGTGGATGATTAAAACAACTTACTGCCTAGTATCTCAGCAACAGTCTCATGTGTAGCCAGAATGCCCTTCTCCAGCCAAATGGTGAGCGCAATCAGGAAACAGTACCGTTGAGTGATATTCCTCCAATGTTCCTGATATCTGCAATGTAATCTATATATTAACACATGTCTACTTAGGCAATAAATAAATGGCAGTCACTCACAGTGACGGTGAATTTGAAACACTTAAGCTTTAGATGTGTTATAATTCCTTGTTACACTTGTATCTGAATAATTTTCGAACTAATATGTATCCATCTATAATCGGTATCCAAACATCTTTGCTTTTCTCACTCTCAGATGTCATACCCTGCAAATCCGCACACACTATAATATTACTAATAAATAGCTGTTTAAAGATATTGATTGTGTTTGTTCTTGCCCAGAACTCACTTTTTTTTCTGTTTTTAGACGGAGCGGAAGCGCATTTGGAATATATCCTGTGTCACAGGGGACTTTACAAACATAGATGAAACAGACACAAAGAACACCCAAACTCAGAACAACAAATTGTGGACCACACAAAATGTCGTCCTATGTCCCGGATTGCACCCACAACACTCAGCGTAGTAGTAATTCAATTCAATTCAATTCAATTTATTTGCGATAATATGGGTTATACAAAAAGAAAAAAAACCGAAAATTAAGTAAGTGAAGTGACCGCTTAAACCACTATACAATCTGTGCACTCACTTAGAGAATACTTTTGTAACAAGATGTAAAAGAAGTGCAGAAAGCAGTAATTTATAAACAAGTTTATAAATTTATGTAGAAATGTTTAAAAAACCTTAACATAACTTTTTTTATGGGACTAATCCCACTCACACGCCCACCACTGTAACTCCTGTACACCAGGATCCACAGCAGTGACCCACGAACACACCGAGTTATGACACTCGGGAAGTCCCAGGAAGAAATTAAACTGTCTTGGAACCCGCAACGAAATTAATCAGAATAAAATTGGAGGAGTTGGAAATACAGTAAATTCACTTCCCTCCTTAGCAAAGCGGGAGACAAAATGAAGTAAAATGGGCAAACCCTTTTAAACAGGGAAGCACCACGGCCACAAAATATTACGGGTCCTACGTGAGCTATATTTGATTTCTATAATATGTATGGCAGAATCGCCTAAACGCACGGAAATTCACCCTAGTTCACACAAGATCCCCATAGTATACCGCCCCAGATATCACCTGCAAGGTATTCAGCATTATATTACGTTCATTATACCAAAGACTACATTCCCAGAGGATATGATGAGCAGACTGTTCATAGTGAGAGTTAGGTGTAGGTGTGTGTTAGCATTGACACAATGGTGACTCGACTAATTTAAATGAATAAAGCTTGCTCTTAAAGTTACCATGACCCGTAAGAAATTAAGCGACACAGTGATCCACCTCAAGCCATGTCCTCGACAACCGTGCGCGAACAGGTGGAAAGAATTGGTAAAGATGGCGCCCCTTGGATGATTCATCACAGCGTTGTTGCCATTCGTCTATGAGGTCATTATAGACATCGGACTGCTGTTGAAGCAATCTTGTAATTTTACCGCGATCCCGCGCGCCCAAAAAATCGCATTCCATGTTTTGTTGTCTTGAATAGTACATGGCTGCACGTCTCTGCACCTCGAGACCGACCGGAAGCACACCCGCCAACACCGGCAAAGTCTCAGTGCTAACCGTCCTATACGAGGGGTGATCAATAAGTAATGATAATCGAGTATTTCTAGAACGCACAAAAACCCAAATTATTTTTTTTCTGCTTGCTTATATATCTACTACTTCAGCTTCAAAAAAATGTATAAATAGGACACCATTACCGGGAGATACATTCATTTGAATACGAACTAAGAAATAAGAAATAAGAAAATAAATAAATAATAAAAAATGAAATAAGAGCTGTCATCAAGTACCTCTGCCTGAAAAAAATGTCTACCAAAGACATACACAGCGACTTAGAGGAAACATTGGTGGAGTCTGCTCCTCCATATTCCACAGTCGCACGCTGGGCAAAGGAATTTAAGCTGGGCAGAACCTCCACTGAAGATGAACATCGCGAGGGACGCCCTTCCACGTCCCTTACTGGAGAAAACGTAAAAAAAGTGGAAGATATCGTGTTGGCCGATCGAAGGGTGACCGTAAGGCATGTAGCTGAGGTCACAGGGATCTCCTATGGCAGCGTTCAAAAAATCATTGTCAACAAAATGCATATGAAAAAGGTCTCTGCGCGTTGGGTACCGAGAATGTTAACCGACGAGCAAAAAAAGAAACGAGTCGACATTTCGAGGGTGAATCTTCAAAAGTTCCAGGCCGATAAAGAATTTTTTTTGTCGCGTTTTGTGACCATGGACGAGACCTGGATCCACCACTTTGATCCCGAAACCAAACAACAATCAATGACTTGGAAACGAGCTTCCTCACCAACGCCGAAGAAATTCAAAGTGTCAAGTTCAGCGGGAAAGGTTATGGCGTCTGTTTTCTGGGATGCAGAAGGAATTATTATGGTGGAATATTTGAAAAAGGGGGCCACTATAACAGGCTCTTACTACGCAGGCCAAATAAGAAGATTGCGAGAAGCTATTAAGTCAAAAAGACGCGGTAAACTGCGCGCTGGAGTACTGTTTCACCAAGACAACGCCCCGGGTCACAAAGCCGCAGTTGCGATGGCTGCCATTGAAGAAACGGGGTTCGAACTGCTCGAACACCCTCCCTATTCGCCAGATCTAGCTCCCAGTGACTTCTACCTCTTTCCTCGGCTCAAAGAACACCTCCGAGGCAACAAATTTGAGGACAATAGTGAAGTGATGGCCGCAGTAGAGGCATTTTGGGAGGGTCAAGACAAAGAATTTTTTTCTAAGGGAATCATGGGCTTAGAAAGATACACTAAATGTATTAACTTGCAAGGAGACTATGTTGAAAAATAAAATACTTTTTTTAATCTAATAGTTCTGTTTCATATTGATTATCATTACTTATTGATCACCCCTCATATGCCTTGCCTTATCAGTGCAAGTCGTTGGCCTTGTAACAGTTTGCGACGGACAGCCCCTACGGTCGCCCTATCGGCCCATACAGGTGCACCATAGCACATAGAACCTAAATTAGTAGCTCCGTATATGATCTTTAATGTATTAAATGATAGACCCCATGTCGCAGTTGATATCCTTGTCAATGCACAGAAACTCTTTTTAGACTTTTCATTAACTATTTTAATATGTTCGATAAATGAAAAGTATTTAACATAACTAACATATTACTGGTTCTGCTATACAACAGGCCTGTCGGTCTAGTGGTGAAGGACCCTGAATGCTAAAGTCGTGAGTTTGATTCCCACCCAGGACAAATAACAATTTTTTTTTTTTTTAAAAAAGGACAAATAATTGTGTGATGAACATGATCATTTGTTCTGAGTGTGGGTGTACTTTGCCTATAATATGTATGTATTTAGAAATATACTAGCTGGTATCCCCAACTTCATTTTTGAGAATTTGATAAGCGCTGCCTTAGTGGTGTAGTATGATACGCGACCGCAACCCATAAGGTCTCGGGTTCGATTTCTGTGCCAGGCAAAACTTTGTAGAGTTTTTCTGAGAGGAATAATAGTCTCCTTATATAGATAGCGACCTGGTAGTAAAATATAATCAAAATTGGTTCAGCCATTTTGGAGATTACCCAAACAAAACTTATTTGTATATGTAAGTGTTTATCAACATTCTGCTTAGTCTGGTTACAGGCTCTGCCTAGTTTGGGATCAGACATGGGGCGATGTTTCAATGTATTATAGCTATTATATGTACCTATGCATATTATGTTTATCTGCCATATTACAGAATGTGTAAATTGTAACTAATTTAATTTATATTTATGTTTGCCTGCAACTTCACATTAATTTGTTTTTCTCTCAGAAACATATTTTTTGTTTATAATTAAAGCATCACATTTCATCTTGATATGATGAATTACACAATGGCACATAAGCCACAAACAATAAAATATTTGTTTTTCTTGTGTACATTTACAAGTTTTAAAGTAATGTGATCATTGCTGCATGCTTGTCTTTGAAATACTTATCTGTGATGCCTGTATTATCGAAAAAAGAAGCTTTATGATTTAAAAATATATAATTTCATAAGCAATGAGTAGCATTAAATAAGTGCATGGAGCAAAAGGTGCTGTTTAAAATCTCACTTGTAATAATCTGTGTCTGGAATAGCTTCCTTTAATTTTCCATATCCCTCACGGGCCTTCTCAAATGATTCCCTTGCCTTAAGGCATGCCGGTCCAACTGAATTAAAAACAAACTAATTAAAATTTTATTTGAACTGAAATTCCACAGTTCAATGATAGTTCAAAAATTACTATAGGTACTGTTTTCTTTAGTTTTTTTACTTACTGCCGGCTTCATTGTGATGGATAACTTGAAGAACTGTTGTCACTTCTCGCGATATTTGGCCGATTTCCTTACAAATGTTGCGTATAACCTAAACGCATAAAAAATATTTTTAAGTAACAAAAATAAACATTTATGTACATGTGGACAGAACTTTTACATTGAGTTTATTTTGAATACAATAATTAAAACAGAAGTTAGTAATGCCAAGATACAAAAACAAGCGATAGGTAACTATTACAATTTATATTTATGAATTGTACCTCTCGTATTTCCTGTTCTCCATCAAGGCTTTTCTGGAAATCGGTAAATATGGTGTTAATAAGATGGTTCTCACACATTATGTTCGGTTATTTATTTATACACTTTTACAGAAAACAGAAAATCAAACTACAAATCAAACAACGAATGATTTGTCTAGATTTGACAGTAGTGAGCGTTCAGTCGGTGTTCCCAACTCAATAACTCAATAATAAAAATATATAAATTAGACTTGCAACGAATAGTATATTCGGCAGTATACCGAATACCGAATATTCGGCGAGGCCCCTGACCGAATAGCCGAATATTAGGCAAAAGTATTCGGCTGGATTTTAGCGCCAAAAACTTGTACAGACGTTATTGCTTCGCTCGCGCGCCCGCTGTTGCTCTGCGCGGTATATTGCTAACGCACTGCATGTTTCGACAAGTTCATTTCGTAGATATCGTATTACGTTAAGTACAGTTTATTATGCTCTCTTAGTTTTGATCTGTTTGTAAGTGTGATAGTGTGAAATTTAACAAATAAACAATTAAATAATTACGAACGTACTTTAATAATAAAAAAATCGATTATGGCCTTTAAAAAAAATCGCCTATATCGCCTTCGAGGATGATGTAAATGATCCAAAAAGTGCCGTGTAAACTGTGCGAAATAAAAATTTCTCGTAGTTTCGTTGCAAGAAAGGCGACAACATCGGGAATGTTAAATCATTTAAAAAATAAACACAATGAAGACTCTTATAAGTTGTTACCCACGTTCCCTAAGAGGCAAGAAACTACAAATCAAGATACGAATGTAAGTAATAAACATTCAACGTCAAAAAAACAATTAACTCTTGAAAAATGTGCAGAAATTAATAAACTATGGGATATTAATGACCCCAAGGCAAAAAAGTACCATGTGTTAATTGCTGAAATGATCGCACTTGATAATGAGGCAGTAAATATAGTAGAAAGGGCTGGTTTTAGAAGACAGATTAATAGCGCTTTGCCGCGGTACAATATACCAAGTCGTCCTTACTTTTTAAACAATGTGATTCCAGAAATTTATCGTAAAGTGGTTGAGAAAATTAAAAGTTTACTTTCAGAGACAGATTATATTTCCGTAACGACTGACATGTGGACGTGCTTGCATAATCATAACAGTTTTTTAGGTTTTACTGCACATTTTATTGACCGCCCATTCAACCTCAAACATGTAGTATTGAGCATCAAGCATTTTGAGGGACAACACACAGCAACGAATATAGCTATGAGTTTACAAGAAATTGCAAATTTGTTGGACATCCGTGAAAAAATTCATATTGTTATTCATGATAATGGACGAAACATAGTAAAAGCTGTTAGTGATGCAGAGTTGGCCTCAGCACGTTGTTTCATTCATACTATTCAATTGATTGTCAATGATTGTCTAAAGGTTCAGTTAGATGTGACTACAATGATAGCTACAGGTAGAAAAATCGTAACTCATTTTAATCATTCTGGTACTGCACAAGAAAAACTGCATTCTGTCCAAAAAGATTTGGGTCTCCCTCAACATGAATTAGTCCAAGATGTTAGCACGCGTTGGAACTCTACATATTATATGCTCGAAAGACTAATGCAACAAAAACGAGCCATTTCTGTCTATCTGACGGACTGTCATATTGCCAATTTGACTGCTGCACAATGGGAGCATTTGGAGCATCTTTTAAAATTATTGCCACCATTTGAGGAGATAACAAAACTTATAAGTTCCGGCTATGCTTGCATTTCTGAAATTATTCCGTATGTTGCTACCTTAATGTGATATTACAATAAAATGAGCACGTCAAAAGAGCTAAAACCCAAATTAAGCCAGGCAATACTCGTCATACAACAAGGCTTACAAGAACGATTTGAAGACATTACAACGAGTAAAAATCATTTGGTTGCTACCTTTCTCGATCCAAGATTTAAAATGAATGTTTTCACCAATCAACTGCAAAAAGAAAAAGTGAAGCAGTATGTATTAATCGATAGCATAAAAATGAGCTGTGAAGAAACAAGCGACGATAGCGCGAGTTCGTCCCCTACTTTGGCCAAGAGGATGAGAACTGAAGAGCTAAGTCTAAATCAGACTATTCACTCAACTTTTATGGATTGCTTCGAAGAGCTGATAGCAGAAAAAAGCACAGCTTCTGGAAACACATCAACAGAAAAAAATGCAGTTTCAACTTGAATTTCCGTGTTTGATTAAGATTGCAGCAAAATATTTGTCGGCGCCAGGAAGTAGTGTTTATTCAGAGCGCCTTTTCTCTGAAGTTGGGATGGTCTACGAGAAAAAAAGAAGTAAACTACTTCCTAAAAATGCAGAAAAGTTAGTCTTTCAGCACCATAACCTTCCACTTCTAAATTTTGATTATGAAAATAATTCAAATGCATAGAAAAATTCTTAACTTGTTCAATACAGAAAATGATTAAATTATGTACCTGTTTTATGTACAATGACTACTTAATAAATGATTATAAAAGAAATGAGAACCTTACCCTTCTAAATTTTGATTACCACAATAATTCAAATACATAGAATCCTCCATTTTTCCAATTCAGAAGATGATTATGTACGTGTGTTATACACCAATGACTACTTAAATGATTATAACAGAAATGAAAATATGAATATATACGTAATCAATCGATTTTAATTTTTCATTTTACCAATTATTTCTCTATGACAAAATATATTACTTAATTATTCGGTATTCGGCCGAATAATATGTAGATATTCGGTATTCGGCCGAATATAATAAAAGCAGCCGAATAGGCCGAATACCGAATAGTAACCGAATATTCGTTGCAAGTCTAATATAAATGTTTAATAATATATAAATATATTTACATTTTATATTATTATTATTTATCTTTTATTCATCATCATCATCATCATCAACAGCCTTTAATAGTCCACTGCTGGACATAGGCCTCCCCTTAGAAAGGAGGTTTTGGCCTACTATACTATCTTTTATTATTTACCTATTAACTCTATGCATATTATTCATTATTCATAAATCCCGATTGCAAGCAGCACAAAAAGAAAGATGTATTTCATAGCAACAAGGATTTGGCTTAAAGGAGTGACGTCGTTGCGATTTTCAATCACTGGTAAGCAAGGTGTGCAACGCAGCAACACTACCTATAAGGTGTTACATATGTGACGCTACATCTAAAGAATTTAACAATTTATTGAAAACAATAGTGGAATCAATGTTAAATCTTTACAATTTGGCCTTTCGATTGTACATGTCCGAATAAGGATTTTTGAAATCAAATTGCATTTGTCATACAAATTACCTCTCAAAAAGTGGCAATTAAAAACACAGACTGATATCGTAATGCCTCATTTACATGCGTGCCGAGGCTCGGCAAACGTTCACAGTTCCGAGCCTCCACAAATGCTTGGGTGTCATTTACACGCTTGCGAGTGGTCAGTGTGTTTCGGACAGGCAAACATGGCAGACGTGGACGTTGAAGTTGTGTCGTACGACGACGTAATTATTTGCCCTGAGTGGGAATAGAACCCACGACCTCTGGCCTAGCAGTCAGGGTCACTTATTCATACACATACATACACACATATATACATACATACACATACATATATGTCCAACGTATAGTTTGGGGTCATCAATTTTATAGATGGTACCAGCTGAGACCCGCGGTGTTACCCGCGTTTGTTGTTATAACCGCGGGCAACGCCGCGGGGTGAAGCTAGTCTAAAAAAAGTAGCCTAAGTTACTCCTTATATCATCAGCTATCTGCCAGTAAAAGTCCCGTTGAAATCGGTCCAGCCGTTCCAGAGATTACCCGGAACAGACAGACAGACAGACAGACAAAAATTGTAAAAAATGTTATTTTGGCATATGTACCGTGTAAACATACATATGTGTTTGCACTGTGCTCATCTATACAAATAAATAAAATTGGCGTGTCTGTTTGTAATATTAAAATAACCGCTTTTTACTAAATGCATAATATGTACATACACGGTACATATGCCAAAATAACATTTTTTACAATTTTTGTGTCTGTCTGTTTGTTCGGGTAATCTCTGGAACGGCTGGACCGATTTCGACAGGACTTGCACTGGCAGATAGCTGATGATACAAGGAGTAACTTAGGCTACTTTTTTTAGACTAGCTTCGCCCCGCGGTTACAACAACAAACGCGGATAACACCGCGGGGTCAGCTAGTTCTATATAAATGTCTTCAAAATATATAATGAATTCTATTCTCATACTATTCTCGGGATACATATATCTATATATGTATATATTTATTTTTATTAAAAACTAGCTGGTACCCGCGACTTCGTTCGCGTGGAATTTAAAAAGCGCTGCCTTAGTGGGTGCGATTCCCGGACCGGGCAAAATTTACAAAGGATTTTCTGAGGAAAAATAGCCTAAGTTACTCCTTATATAGACAGCTACCTAGTAGTAAAATATTATCAAAATCAGTCCAGGCGTTTAGAAGATTACCCGGAACAAACAGACAGACAAACAAACAAAAAAAAATGAAGTCATTTGACCAATGAGTAGTCATGCGTAGTAGTCATCGATGCGGTCGTATACAGCGCAACGTAAATCACACCCGCTCAGCGCGAGCTCGTGAGCCTGAGCGACACTGAACACGCGCCAACGTGTAAATACGTCGCACACGATAGCGCGAGCTTCCTTTGATCTGTGTTAAAAAACCGACATAGTCCCGATCGACGACGAGCCTACGCGAGCCGAGCCGAACATCCTGTTTACACGCTTTTATAATCTTTTTCAAGTATTAGTAGTGGGCATTTATAAAAGTAATGTATTTTGACGTGACAACGTCTTATAATTCGATGGAGCCGGCTGCACGCACGAAAAAACATGACTCATGCGGCGTTACCTCGCTCTGAGGCGTTCCATTTAAGGCTTGAAGTGCAAGCGAGAGCGCGGAACGAGCGACAAAGAGGCACAATCGGCCTGCGGCAGCGTTTGCCATCTGTCTCTCTCCTACTTGAGTGAGCGATGCGTCCGCGTGGACAGCTGCTATACAATAATACATTTACATGTTTTCGTAAAATGCAACCATTCCATCAGTATTTTTTTATGACGTTGTCACGTTCAACTATTGTCAGTAAACCGACTTTACAGACAACCGGTTTTTATTTGGGAAACATTGATGATAAAGGCGTTTTACTAAAAGGCAAATAATTGACACATCATAAAACACTACAAAAAACTGCAGGCCTATTGTTTGTGATTCACTTTTGATTTTATTTCATTCCTTAATTTAAAGTAATCAACAAATATGTATAAAAAAATATCTAACAAGTAACCTACTATAATTTTTTATATTACTGGTTCATTAAATAAGACAATTTCTTTACAAGGTTCAAAAGAAAAAAGATAGCGGAAACAATTTAATAAGGTATATTTCGAGTGACACTGCTGTTGCAACTACATAGATGTACAGTTACTCAAATAAATAAACAAAATTAAAAAACAAGTTTTATTTAAAATTACAATCAAGCAAGTATTCACTTAGCCAGGAGGCCAATGCATTGGGCGTCCACCTAGAACATGTACATGTAAGTGATATACACTCTGGGCTCCATTCTTGCCGTCATTAATTACCAAACGGAAACCACTCTTGTCCAGACCTTCTTGTATTGCAACCTTTTTGGCAGCAACCATCAGGTGACCTGAAAAATAGCAACATATAAAACTACAACTTTATAGTTTATTATAATAATAGATGTACCCTGCCAAGCAACGCTGTGGCACATTGTGGTGGCAGGCTGAGAAATGAGAAACAAAGCTGACAAATAAAAACAATCTTTGAAGCGGGTTGTATCACATCATCACATCAACAGCCTATAATAATCCACTGGACCTGAACATAGGCCTATTATTTTATTACAACAGTGGACTAATATTTTATCTCATCATTTGGTATTATTATTACTTTCTATGTTAGGCTTTTGTGCGGGTTGTATATCATGACAAAAGTTCATCTCGTAAAGAACTTTTTGAGTTTTTAAAGCGTATGCTGCAAACCTAACTTAACATTATTTTATTAACATATATGATAATTTGCGGAAGTGTTTCCTCCACTTGATTGTAAACTTAATGCCATTTTCTCTCAAGTACAATTAAAATTGTTTATTTCAAAATATATAGATTACCTCAACATGTATAGCATTTAATCAAGTGTATGCCACAATGCACTTATCTACTGCCTACTGGTAATAAAGATAAAAACCAAAATTCAATTTCATTTAATTTTTTTTTGTATAATTCATTAATGTATTTTATTTAAACATTAATTGAAATTACTATAATAATTTCTGAACAAAGATCTGATAATAAAACTGAAGGATGTTTTTTCTGCTAATAAAGTCAGTGCTGTAATGAGTTTGGTGCTACACTTAGTATAACAACTGATTTGATACTTTTAGAAATTAAATCAGGGAACTTTGTTGTCTTTAGAAACAAGATTTTGGTGATGTAGAATCATTGTTATTTAAATCAGTAAGGTTTGGTTACAAGATGATACACATATTATATTAGATAAAAAGAGCCAATTCTTTTTATTCTACAAATTAAGAATTAATTTTATAAATGTTATCCTTGCTCTGTCGTCAGTATTGTTACCTATTAATAATTGATATTTTGTGACTCAGTCAATTAATCTAAAACTTACATAGATACGCAATAATTATGTTCCTTTAGCCATATGTTCCTTATTATTGTGTTAAGTGTGGATAATGCTTTAGTTAAGTTTCATATAAAACTGTGTAATTATTAATTATCCCCGATAAATAAAAAAAAAATGAACTGTAAAATTCACCTAAGAGTTGTTCATCAGCATCATCAGCCTTGGACAATTGGGTAATTGGCTTTCTTGGAATCACTAGTATATGCGTAGGAGCTTGAGGATTCACATCATGGAAAGCCACACACTAAAAATGTATACAAAAAACATTATAAACTACTTACGATTTAATTTTTTTTTTATATTTGACAAGAATATTCAAGAAGTAATGAAGGTCAAAAACACAATATTTAACAAACAGAAGTAAAAAATAATCTAACAGCAACTTAAGAAAAGTATGACAGTCACCTGCTCATCTTCATAGACGAATTTAGCTGGTATTTCTTTCCTAAGTATTTTTCCGAATATAGTATCGCCACCCGCAGATGCGGTTTGGGCTTTTGCGAGTTCCCCTTCCTCCATTCTAGCTATGACTGTGTTAAAAAGAATCAAGGATACATAAAATTTTACTAATTTAATCATCTTATTTCGTTCTAAACATAAATCTCATTACAAATACTCACCAACGGTTTAGTAAAGAAAAAGCCGACGATCTCTCTAATAATATGACTGTACCTCTGTCACAGAGTACTATTGTTCAATATGACCTCTGTGCAGCAATCTGTCAGTTCAGTAGATATAGATATTTTACTGTAATCCACAGATAACTATATACTAGGCAGAGACCTGTAATCTGCGCAGCGCTCACCTCTCTATAATATACTAACTATTTATATTTATTTAATAATTAAGGAAAGTGGAGCTGTTACAAACTGTACTTGATCAATTATAAATGCAACTTGAGCAGTTTTTTAACACTGAGCAATTGAAAATATTGTATATATCAAAAGATAGGAGTTTAAAAGTATGGATAAATTATTATTTTTTTCAACTATTTTATTGATTTTTAATTAAATAATTTAAGGTGAGCAATTTTAAAGGACAACGTAGTTGAATTGAGCTATTGAATATCTATCGATTAGTATTTTTTTTATTACAAATATTATTATTTTGCAGGCTGGGGTGGGCTAGGTCATCTGCATAGATAAAACTCTATAGGTAAATCCAAGAGAAATCCGCCAATGCATGCAACGCAGACAGTTGTGCACATTAGTGATGTCTAGTCGTCTCAATGACTCAAAACTAATACTAAGATTTAACTTGAGTCAGAATCAAAAACGTATTTCCAACAGTTTATCTATCATGTATTAATATGTAACACATAATCACATAATCTAAGTTTCATGTGTTGTATAAAACTTTAAGTAAAAAAAACTTTAAAAACGAGGTGACGCTCACTTCAATTCATTTTTGACGTGACGTCTTATAATTCGATGGAGCCGGCTGCACGCACGAAAAACATGACTCATGCGGCGTTACCTCGCTCTGAGGCGTTCCATTTAAGGCGTGAAGTGCAAGCGAGAGCGCGGAACGAGTGACAAAGAGGCACAATCGGCCTCCGCGTTCGGCAGCGTTCGACATCTGTCTCTCTCCTACTTGAGTGAGCGATGCGTCCGCGTGGACAGCTGCTACTCGTATACAATAATACATTTTTGAAAAATGCAACCATTCCATCAGTATTTTCTTATGACGTTGTCACGTTCAACTATCGTCAGTAAACCGACTTTACAGACAACCGATTTTTTATCTATATCTTAACTACGTGATACTCCCTATTTTTGAACCGATTTCAAACCTTTATATATAAATATATACTCGTATTTACCACACTCTTTGTTGCTTCACAAATATAGCAACAAAGACAATATGATGTAGATTTGAAAATCAGCAGAATTAAACCGACAACATGTTTTGTGTCTTCGGCGATCTCTCCAGCCTTACAATCATTGCGCTGCATTCAGGCTGGAGGGATTGATTGAACAGTGATTCCAATTTGCACCGTTTTTACAGGACTAATTTGAATAAACCATCAGTAGATGAAAAGTTAAAGAGCAACACATTTACGAATGACGAATATCTTAGTAATGACGTAATAAATGTACATGTGTAAATAAACGAAATGTTATGAAGAAAGTTTTATGTGAAAGTTGACACATATAAGAGTAGAAGACGACATTTATTGATATACTGATTACGAGTCAGAAAGTGGAGTTCTTCCTTGCTTTTTTTATTCAAATTTGGCATTGACAGTTTTATATTTGCTCAAAAATATACTGGATAAGAATATTTTGTACTAAAAGTAGGTCATCCTATATCTTGTTAATAAGGTAAAGAACAATCTAACGGAGTTAAATTTATTTATTTGTTACAATAACATTCTTTCATCATCCTACTAACTCCAACTTCGTAAAAATCAACCTAAACTAGTTAATCGAGATGTTTTTTTCTCGAGTAGGCACATCAAAACTGTTCATACAGAATAAACAAGTCAATGTTGCCAGAATAGACAGTCAAAAGGGATGTAGTTGGAAAACGGATAATGAAAGCACATAATACAAAACAATAAAAATACGCTTGTATTACTTAACAATAATGCTTAAAAACTAAAGCACAGCTCTTTTCTTCTGTCTTTATCACGAAGAGTGATATCATATCACCATACTGATAACGGCTCTGTCCTACAGCCGAGCTCCAGGCCCCGTAGGCCATACCATGTGGTGCAAAGCCCTTCCAAAAACATGCAAAGCCTTTAATTTATTTTCCCGATGATTTTCATCGACCATCACGTGATATCCCGTTCTGTCGATTCCCATATCTAGTGCCACCTGTTTGGCTACAATCAACATATGGCCTGAAACAGAAAAAGGTCGGCATAATAAAACAAACTCATGAATTTTTTATTTTATTTAAAATTTATGAAAATGGCCACCACATTTGTCTTCCGCCTAGAACTTGAACGTAAAATTGGTTGATAGTTTGACATGAGTGCACGCCTTCATTCATTACAACCCTGAAACCTGTTTTGTCGATGCCTTTTTCTTTAGCGATGCGGCGTGCGATGATCAACAAATGCCCTGTAATAGTTCCACCTACTAAAAAGTACTAATAAAAACAAGAAATAAACACAGTAGTCACATCTGACATTTCAGCTACCATCTGAAGGCCTCTAGCACCATAGATACTTGGGCACATATGGGGCGGCTCAACCAGTGATGCCACGGCCTATCATTGTTTATCATTATACAGGGTGTGGCGTAAATAGTGGTCCACCATTAAGGATTCGATAAACCAGATAATTTACTATAACATTTTACAATTTTATCCATTTTTACCCAAAGGTTCCGGAAATATATATATTTTTTAATTTTTTTACGATATGTGTACCTCTTGTTACAAATTTGGTTGTTCGATGCAATAATTACGATCGAACACCTTTTGCTGATCTAGCAACCTAACGCGGTCGCCTTAAGTGCGCGGCGACATCAGTGCATATTCGGACAGCAAACCGGGTGCATTCGTAACTATTAGCAGAGCATATAATCGTCCATTAGCATTTTAGCATAGCTTAGTACCGTTATACTTTTTATAATAATAAACCGTGAAAGAGTTATCGAAGTCTTTAATTTAGCATCGAGCTTAGCAGCAGCCCATCGCACGTAGGAAACGTATCCTACATTTTTGGTCCTTCGAGCGTCAAGGACTTCGCGGTCGTGAAATTCCTGTTATCGGAACAATAGACAAGTGAAGTTCGTGACATCTGAACAGCGATCTATATAGCGAATATCTAACAGCGTCCGTAAAGTGTTAACAGCATCAAGCACTGAGAACACTCAGTACATCTCACAGCAGTTCCAGCAGTACTCATTGGGGTACGCATTCAGCAATATTGAGCCTAAAACTAAGGCTCAACAGCAATATCGAAGCCGAGAGCATCTCTAGTCGGTCCAGCAACACAAAGTAAGATCTTTCTATCACTCTTACCGTTTTTCTAGCAACAGTCAAAATGGAGAGTCTATATTTCTCTCAATCCGAGCTTGCTGAGAGCATGAAAAATATGCTCATTAATTTTAAAAAGGATAGCGTAGAGCGTAAAACTTTTGATTATTGTAGGCGTAAACTCGAGTTACTTGAGAAGTACTGGCGAGAGTATGAAATAAATCATGAAAAATTGATTCCATGTGAAAAAACGAATCATGCGTATTTCGTTAATTCGGAGTATGAGAGAACGAGGGAACTTTACTTGACAATCCAAACTCTGATCAATAAACGTCAAGAAGAGGTAAGCCAACGAGAACAGCCCTCGCCTCATGAGCAGGAAACTACGACTGGCGCTTCGATGCGTCAGTCTAAACAGCAAGCAACCGTAACATATCCAACTACTATAGCGAGAAGTTCTTCAAGTAAGCTGGACGATATGCTTCACAAGCAGTCAGTCAATTTCAAAGCTTTTATACGAACAGTTGATAATATTAATCTGGATACATTAGCTGACAAATGGGAGTTTGACGACGCCCTCCAGACATTACAAAACCGCTGGAATGTCATTGACAACCTCCACTGGGAAATCATGGGTGAGACTGAGGAAAACCAGGCCTATGAGTCCCATTATAATAAGCATGAGCGCACATACATTAGCATGAAAAAGGCAATCAACTCAAAGATGTGGTCTACCTCACATCACGCTAAAGCTACACCGAAAATGGATATCCCAATGTTTACCGGCAACTATCATCAGTGGATTTCGTTTAAAGACCTGTTTAGCGAAGCCATACACAAAAACACATCATTGTCAAATGCTCAAAAAATGCAATTCCTGAAAAGCAAAGTAAAAGGTGAAGCCGAACGCTTGATACAGCACCTACCAATAAGTTCTGACAATTACATAGTCTGTTGGGAGATTCTAAATAATCGATTTGATAACAAAAAACTTATATTTACATCACACGTAAATGTATTTTTAAATTTGCCTAACATACAGCAGCAATCGTTTTCGGCTATTAAGAAATTGCATGACTTATCTTTAGAAAGTCTTCACGCTATTAAAAACTTAGGAATAGACATTAGCACGTGGGATCCTCTTTTAGTACATATCTTGTCGCAAAAGTTAGACAGTGACTCTTATTCGGAATACATAGAGTCGTTAAAGAACTCTCGTGAGTTACCTGTACTTCAAGAATATTTTGACTTCTTGGAGAACAAATTTACGAGTCTCGAAACAGCTCGCCGGCGACAAGATATCATGCCAAAAACCCATACACCATCTCAACATCTAAATACCCCTTCTACATCATTTCTTAATAATAGAAGATTTCATTATTATAATAAGTCGAACGATAGCACTTGGAAACAATCTAAACCAATTACGAAATCTTTACACGTGTCGGGTATTAAATGTCCGGTTTGTTGCGAACAACATTATTTGTATAATTGCAATAAATTTTTAGAAATGCCAAGCGATATTAAACTTAAAACCGTAAATAAATTGCAATATTGTACAAATTGTATTTTTAGCCATAATGGCAATAAATGCTATTCTACAAAACGGTGTCGCAATTGTTCCGCAGGTCACCATACCGTATTACACGATTGTTTTACGCAATTAAAACCTACATCCGGTCCGAGAAAACAAGTATCTAATAACAATTATGAAATTAAACAACAAATTAGCGGAAACGTGCATGCCTCTCAGCAAAACATAAACGAAATCCTTTTAGCCACCGCGTTGCTAAGAGTTACATCAGCAGACAGCTCGCAGATTGTTTTGCGTGCCCTTATCGATCAAGGCTCTCAAATATCCTTAATTACTGAAAAAGCAGCCCAACAGCTGGGTTTAAAGAGAAAGCAGTACAGTGGCGTTGTTTTTGGCATAGGTGAGAAGGACAGCAACTGTAAAGGAAAGCTAAATATTACATGCCAATCAATGTACACAAGCTTTAACTTCAATACCGATGTTTTGATTATGAATAATTTAATAAAAAATTTGCCCAATAAATCCTTTACAAAGCCTTTTTGGTCACATTTAGAGCACATAAACTTAGCCGATCCTGAATACTACAAAAGTCGCCCTGTAGACCTATTACTCGGGGCTGACGTATACTCGCTTATTATGTTAGGCGGTACTTTAAAGGGCTCTAATGCAACATCGCCCTTAGCGCAGCAAACTCAGCTTGGATGGATATTATGTGGCGGGATAAATACTTTTCACTGCAATGTGATTTTAAACAATACAGCGGATATTCATCAGTTCTGGAAGATTGAGGATATCCATGAGCAAAATGAAATGTCAACCGAAGATCAATATTGTGTTGATTATTACGTCTCGACTACAAAACGATTAGAAAATGGTCATTATGAGGTTAGGTTACCGTTAAAACAACAATTGAGCGAAAAATTAGGATCGTCAAAGGAAATGGCGATAGCACAATTTAGGAATTTAGAAAGGAAATTTAGCAAGCAAGAGTACTTAGCGCAACAATATAAGCAATTTATAAGCGAATACGAAGAATTAGGACATATGAAACCAGCAACATTTCATAGTAAACAGCTGGAGTGCTTCTTGCCTCATCATGCTGTTGAACGAGCCGATTCTTCTACCACAAAGCTACGTGTCGTGTTCAACGCGTCCGCGAAAACCTCCACTGGATACAGCCTTAATGACCTTATGTATAAAGGGCCAAATTTACAGAAAGACCTGCAAGAACTGCTGTTAAAATGGAGAATTTATCGATACGTATACACGGCTGACATCGAGAAGATGTATCGCCAAATTTTTATTTCCGAAGAAGATCAAACCCTGCAGCAAATCGTTTGGCGAGAGCATACCAACAAACCGATCACAGCATATCAGCTATCTACAGTTACTTATGGGACTAAATCAGCCCCGTTTTTAGCAATGATGACCCTTCGACAACTAGCGTCTGATGAGCAGAACAAGTTCCCCAGTGCAGCAAGGTCTTTACGAGAAGATTTCTATATGGACGACTATATTTCGGGAACTCATTGCATTAATGAAGGGAGAAGAAGAATAGCAGAATTACATCTGTGTCTTACTAGCGGCGGATTTTCATTGCGAAAGTGGTCCTCCAACGAGAAAAGCATATTAGAAAACATTAACTTATCCGAAAAAAACAGACAAACGTCTTTTATTTTCAAATCAGAGAGTACAACTAAAACCCTGGGTTTGCGATGGGACCCTATCAAGGATGAATTTACTTTCCAATATAAAATCTCAGCCGATATTACGAAGCTAACAAAACGAACGCTACTTTCCGAAATATCTAAGTTGTTTGACCCCTTGGGTTGGCTAGCACCGCTGACCACTAAATTAAAATTATTATTTCAGAAAGTTTGGCAAGATTCAAACGTTCAATGGAGTGACGAAGTTTCATCTGATATTAAGAACGAGTGGGTCAAATTAACGGATGACATAAATTTGATTAGCCAGATACAAATCCCGAGATGGCTTAGCTGCAAGCAGCATGACATTATCCAATTACACGGATTCTGTGATGCATCTCTTAAAGCTTACGCTTGCGTCGTATACGCTCGAGTCGTATTAGCGAACACAACTTCAGTTGTACTAGTCGCAGCCAAAACCAGATTAGTACCTAATAACAAAACGGTTTCGCTACCCAGGCTAGAGCTATGCGCCGCTGAATTATTGACAAAACTATTTTTAAAAATTATAAATAGTTTAGGAAGTAGCATACAGCACAAAATATACGCTTGGAGTGACTCTGAGGTCACTCTCAGCTGGATACGTGGCAATCCAGACAGATGGAAGCCTTTTGTATCGAACAGAGTGAACAAGATTACTAGCATTTTATCACCAGATATTTGGCATTACGTGCC